GCCAAGGCGGGGGTTGCGGGACACGAGGCCGTGCCGCTGCCTGCGGCTCCTCCGAGGAAGTTGCGAGGGCTGCCTTCGCCTTCAGTTCCTTGTTTTACTTAAAGGGCAGCTGTGTTCCTTATCGGCGGCGAGTGCCGCGGGTTTTCCTCGCCCTGCAGCACCCTCTCGCAGCGGTCCAGGCAGGGATGGTTTAAGGTCCAGGCAGTCGCTGCGCTCCTTACCCAAATCCAGACTGTTGCTGCTTAACCCCAGCACATGCTCCCCGCCGTGTCCCCCCCGCCTACCCCTGCTAATACGGGATCTCCGTGCCACCGGCTGTGCCGCGGCGGCCGCTCTCTCCAGACTGGGATTAAGGCCGCTCTTCACAGGCATTGCAGCCCCGGCAGCCCCGGCTCACCCCCGCTCCCGCAGGTACATCGGATCAGCCCCAGCGTGTACCCCCGCGGCTTTCCAGGACGGGCCCTGGGGGTGACGCAGTCCCCGAGGAGGACAGGGCCCTGCGTTGGGGACAGGAGCGTTCCGGTGCTGGGGAGGAGGTGGGAAAGCGGCCGCGGGAGCAGATCCCTGTCCCGCCGTGGGGCTTCACCTCGGTGCAAGTGATGGAGAGATGCCTCATCCGCAGGGTTTCGGTGCCTCTGCGTGGGGATGTGCTGGTGCGGGGGAGCTGGGGGGGGACATGGCCCCTCCAGGCAGAGGAACTGGGGGGACACGTGGGCTTTAGAGCGATGAGGTAGTAACAGGCGCGTGTGCTTTCAGAGGACGAAGAGGATTTGTCAGGCTCTTCCTCACTATGATGGTTTCTCCCTTGTTTCAATGGGAAATAGTGCAAGCTAAGAAAGCAGCATTTCCGCTTCTCTGCCCTCTTTCATGCTCAAAAAAAAAAAAAAAAAAAAAAAGGTTTTTATAAACCAGGAATTCCTCCCTCCTGGAGTGCAGACGCCCCTTGCCAAGTTTCAGCCTGAGGCTGTTCTTCTGGCCTCCTGCAAACCCCCAGAAGAGAGGCTTTGGATGGCAGCACTGATGTGTCGCCCCAGCTAGGAACCCGGACAAAACGGCGAGTGAGCTGGGGAGGGGAAGGGGAGCGTGGGGAGGCTGCAAGAGACCCAAAACCAGCCCCCCAAGCCCTTCCCTGCAGGTCGCTGGGACCAGATATCAACCCCTGCTTGCTTCTAACCTCTCTTTTTAGGCACTCAAACAGAAAAATGTAGATTTTTGTGTAGCGTGTGCATGGGCAGCACCCACCCTGCAGAGCCCTGGGCTGCAGAGCTTTATAGCCAAAAAACCTGCGGTCGGAGGTCCCCGACTGCAGCGGGCACTGCTGTCCTCTTGGGGTACAGATCCCGAGGGGATATGGGTGCTTGGCACCTCCGGCAGATTGGGTGCTCTCTGGGGCTGAGTTTGGGTTTGGAGCTGGTGGTTTAGGAAAATAAAATATCCATCCCTTTACTTGGGAGGGGGTTAACGCCCCCTCTGCATCCCAGCACGTGCCCATGGACGTGCCCAGCTGGGAGGCAGGGGGGTGTTTAACCCCCCTTCCTGGGCAAGTGATGGATATTTTATTTTGGGGCACAGGGAGGGTTATTCCCCATCTCTCGGGGGCTGTTGCCTTTGCCCCACAGGGATGGAGGTGTGGGGTGTTAGAACCCCCCAGCCCACCTGCTCTGCCCAGGGTTGACAGGGCAGCAAAGGCAGAGTGACAGCAGCGCTGTCCCCCCTCCCTGTCACCGAGCGAGCCCTGGGGCAGAGGATGTGGTGTCTCCTCCGCTGTCACCCCTGATAAACCCGGGAGCGGCGATGGGGCCACGCGCTGCTTCATGTCAGCCTTGACTGTGCTGCTCTCCCTCTACCTCACATGTGCAGTGAGTTGGGCGGTCTCAGCCTCGCACCTCTGTCCCACGGGGGTCTGCAGGACAGGGACAGGATCGCTGTGGTGGAAAGTGAAGCTGCCTGCGGAGGGGATCAGAGATTAGGAGCTGAGGGCAGGGACGGACAGAGGCAACTCTTCCTGTTTGTTGGCTGGACAGAGACCTGGCAGCACTCATCACTGCGCTGAGCCTCCCCTCCTTTGTCTGAGCACCTCCATCCCCGAGGCACAATTCAGGACAGCCCTGGCCGAGAGGAAGAGGGCAGGAGCAGGGTTGAGGGTCTCATGCAGAGCGGAGTTCAGGGGTACAAGATATTTTCTAGCTAAGGCTTTTAAATTTCTTTTTATCTGTTGTAAAATCCTGGCTTTCAAAGAGCAAGAATTTAAAAAAAAAAATACACACACACACACACACCCCCAATCGGTATTGTTTGCATTTTCTTTGTGGTTCCTGAGTATGTAGCCATAACATTTCCCAAGCTTTTCTGTGCTACCATAACGGCAAGTAACTCGCTTAAAGGGGAAAAAAATCCAAGATTTTTCTCTCTTACCACCATGACCATCGTTGGAGGGACTTTCTGGGAACACGATAAATGTGGCTGGATTTGCAGGCAGATCCTGCAGACTGTGGCTGCTGCGGGCAGTGCAGCCCAGGGGGCCGCTGCCTAGAAACGGGGTGATGGTGGATGGCGTATGGACTAGGCAGGATCCGGGCACTAGCTTGCCAAAACCGGGTGGGAAATATTTTAACCCTCTTTTCCCCAAGACAACAGGACCTACAGGCTCCTTTCACCCACCGCCTACCTGCAGGGACCCTCCCAGGGCTGGTGTTTGGGGCTCCTTGTCACTCGGCGATGCTGTGGGGCTTGAGGCAGGTCAGGTGGGCACTTTGGTGTGCTGCTTCTCTGGGCAGGGTGCGGGTAAGGGCTTGAGGCTGGAAACAAGCCAGCTTGGAGAGGGGCTAAAGCCCAAATCACTCTTTTTCTGCATTGAGAAGCTGCAGAGCCTGAAGCATCCCATGGCAACCCCAATCCTCCCTAGTGGCAGCACCCCAGGGACAGGAGAGGCTGTGGAGCATCTCCAGGTGCAGCAAGTGGAGTTGTCCGACCAGTGTACAGGGAAAAATCTCCTGCAAAATATCTGGGAGGTGTGCAAAGCCCTAAGGGATGCATCGGGGTTTGCTCTCTGCTTGTAAAGCCCCAAGGATGCTGGCAGGACTGGGAGCACACTGCTGGTGCAGGAATGGTGCCTGAGGAGCTTGATGCTGGGTGTCCCCAGAAAATAACCCCCAAAACCCCACTAACAGCAGGATTTAAGCCAGGGAATTTGCAGATCTGAGACTGGAGTGGATGAGAGGACTTTTCCCAGAGCATGTGGGTGTCATAGGTTTGCTGCTCAACACCATGATCCCTGAGGCAGCAGCACCTGAACTCACTGCAGCACCCTCCAGCTAAATGCAGCCACCCCAGGGACCTTGCTGTGGTTTCGTTAGCGGGCAGGAGCTTGCGCAAGCCCTCCTCCTCGTGCTACTAATTACACAGTAACAAGCCGGATTAATTGTCTCGTGCAAATATGTCAGGACGCACCAGGGTGCCTGGTTACGGCCACAGTGTTCCTGGGGCTACGGGCAGCATCTTGGGGCAGGGGCCAGGCAGCCTATCCCCTTGGAAATCCCAATTTCCGCATGGACAAAGCCCATATTCTAGATTTCCAAGGGGAGGTTCCATCTGGCTGAATTTTGGGACCATCTGGCTGAATTTTGGGGCTGCTTAGCCTCCTGGAAGACCCTTATCCTGATGTCTTTTAGAGGCTGCAGCTACTGATGGTCCAAGGTATTCTCCCCCACCCCCCCCCCCCC